AACACGTCGAGAGGTGGGGTGGTAGAACTGCCACCCAGGTGCGTCAGGAGGGAAACCCAGGAAGACGCAGGGAGCAGCACGAGAGGACAGCTTGTCCGCGGACAAGTCGCGAACAAACGCCCGAGATCCCCAGACACGGAACGCCGACGCATCGCCAACCTTCCCCGTCCACAGCACATCTGGGGAGGTCTCCGGCCTGGAGACCCTGGGCTGAAGGTTGATCTGATGCGCCGCGTACCGAACCGCAAACGGCCACAGAAAATGGGGGGCAGCCGCATGCATCATGGACGTACGGGCGACGTCCATGACCATGCCAATGCGGCGCTCAGCAATCCCATTCTGCTGTGGAGAGTCCGGAAGCGTGAAGGTCTGGCGGATGCCTCGTGCACGACAGTAGGCTCGCAAAAGGCCAGAGGAGAACTCTCCGCCTTTGTCCGAGTGCAGATGCAGAACAGGAAAGTCCGAGCCGAAGCTCTTCCTGAGCTGGAGAAGAGCTGCGCGGATCCAGTCGATCAACACCTCAGTGACCTCACCCTTGCTGCGCAAGGGAATGACTGTGGTGTAACGCGAGTAGTCGTCAACCACCAGCAGGAAGTAGCGCTCGTGACCGTGCCCCCGGACGCGGGCTGGGCCCCACACGTCCATGTGAAGAGTCTGCAGCGGGGCCTCCGTAGGAGGAAACGGGGAGGAGTGAGGGGTAGCCCGGAGGCGACCCTCGACACAGGGGACACAGGGAGGGCCAGGACCCGGAGGAAGGGGAGGGAGGGACCGGGGAAGACCAAAGACAAGAAGACGAGAGGCCATGCTCCGGAGACGAAGCAGGGAGGGGTGACCCATGTGGTGGTGCCACAGGAGGGTCTCGTGGGACAGGAGGCGACACGAGCAGGGGGCAGACTCAGGACCAGACCTGGACGCTGCAGCAAACACCTGACCCGACGCAGGAGGAGGAGACGGAACAGTGAGGGTGTACAGGCTCGACCCCGGCCGACGCGTGAACGTGGTCAAGTGTCGGCCCGTGTCCACGTCCGTGCAGTGGGTGTCCCGTCGGCACGTAGGGGTGAACTGGTCAACCCCTGCATCCTGTGGGTCAGCACCCGCCACCAAGTTCGTAGAGAACGAGGGGAGGTACAGACCCGACAGGGAGCCAGACGGGACCGCAGGGCACGGAAGGACAGTGGAGTAGCGAGCCAGAATAGGACCCCCAGAGGGGTCTGCCAGGGAGACTGCCACTGGCCGACTAAGCGGCGTGAGTGTGGTGCGGTCTTGAAAGAAGGAGCGAGATGCTCCTGAGTCAAGAGTGAAGGTGAGGGAGGGCGGAGCCGACGCAGTACCTGAGAGAGCAGACTCACCAGCACCTGAGGACACAGACTCACTGGCACCTAGAGCAACAGCCTCACCAGCACCTGGAGCAGCAGCCTCAACAGCACCTAGAGCAGCAATACCAATGCCCGGGTCGGGCGGGAAACACCGGTAACAGTCACCCTCCTCACTAATAGTCACAGCATCAAAGTCACGAAGAATAGCATCAAAGTCAAGATCAAAGATAGCTACTCCTGCCCTAGTTAGCTGGTCCCAGCGAGGGATCTCGGTGGCGACAGGAAACTGGCGGCGCCAAGCGTCAGTCAGGCAGCCAAAGCAGCGCTGGGTGGGGTGTGGACCACCACACGGCTCACCCGCACGGTCGCCAGTGCGCAGGACGTAGGTGCACGGACCAGTACCCCAACCCCTCTGACGCGCAGCGTACCACTCACGGAGCTGCTGCGGGGAGAGGGTCTCCTGACCACGCTACTGCTGCTGGCGCTGACCACCACCGGAGCCACTCCTCTGCGATGAGCCACGACCTCCTCCGCCGCCCCCGCCGCCGCCGCCGCCACCACCTCCGCTACCACCTCCACTCCCACCGTCGCCGCCGCCACCGCCGCCCCCGCCTCCACTCCCACCACCACCGATGCTGCCGCCTCCGCCTCCACTGCCGCCGCTGACACCTCCACTCCCGCCACCACTCCCACTACCACCCCCACCTCCTCCGCTGCCTCCGCCGCCGCCTCCACCGCCCCCGCCAGCTCCACCACCGCCCCTGCCCCCCTTGCCCTTGCCAGGGCGACGTCTCCCACTAGGGGCAGACGCCACACCGACCGACTCAAAACCAACGAGGTCGGCCGTAGCAGCAGAGGCGACAGAGGGCAGGAGGGGGGAGGGGGAACACCCCTCAAAGATGGGGGTGCGCGGGTCACCACGAGAGGCCCCTACAGCGAGAATGCTCTTCTCGGCCGCTAGGAGGGACTTCTCGAGGAGGTCAACAGTGAGACTGGTGGGGCAGACTGAGAGAAAGTGGTCCCTGACTACGCGAAGGGAGTCAGGGAGGCGGGTGACTATGTAGTAGAGGGTGATGTACATGGGGGGGGGGGGGGGGTTCTTGGCGCAGAACTCAGCAGGAAGCGCAGCGCGGTAGCGAGCGTCACTAGTGCGCAGGTGGGTAATGAGGTCAGCGACTGTGGCAAAGGCAGCAAGGTCGGGAAAGAGGTACGGTAGCATGAGGCGGCTCAGTGCAGCAGTGGCAGGGGAGGAGTAGTGTGCAACTACAGCGTCGTACAAGGTCTGAGCACTCTTGTACTGGCCAAAGTGCGCACGCTCAGAGGGAGGGAGGTGGCGACGCACAGCAAGACGTGCAGCAGCATCGCGTCTGGCCCACTGTGAGCGAACAGTGGCATCCTCAGTAGCAGCAGGGGCGGGAGAGGCACCAGAAGTGAGGTCAAAGAGAGAGAGGCCGTCAGCTCTGTCGCACTGTAGGAAGAGTAGCAGGTCGTCCACCCAAACGTCGAAGTTGATGGCCCTACCCTCAGCGTCAAAAGTGAGGACACTGGGGGTAGCCATGACAGCAGTAGACTAGCAGTAGGGTGAGGGCAGTGCGGAGAGGACAGTGTAGTGCTCACCAGACAGTGCAGGTCGGGTAGAGCAGATACCGGGGGCTCAGGCGGCGCGCGACAGGAAGGCGGCACGCGCGGCGCGACGCGGCCGTCTGGGGCGGCGCGACGAAGCCGCTTAGGCAGCGCGACGAAACCGTGAGAGCGGCGCGTCGCGATCGGGCCGCTAGAGGAACGAAAAAGCCGAGCGCGACTCGGGCTAGGGCTGAGCGCGCTCCGGGCAGGAAAAAAAAAAAGTTGGTGGGCCCTAGGAACAGTTCCCACTAGGGAACCTGCTCGATACCATCTCAGAATCAGTAGCGAGGAATGATCAACTATGAAATGAAATCAGTACAAGTACCAACCCTAATTGGGTTGTACCCCCTATGGGCTACCCCACTACAGCCTACAAACATGCATCAGCTATAATAATCTGACAGTTGTACACTAATATCTATTTTTATGCCTGTATGTTTCCTCTTATTAGGTTGTGATCAGTGTACTGCCTTGCTATTATAACTCTGCATGTGAACTGGCCTTGTGGCCGCGCGCTTGTGCTCGGATTGTGTGGTGTCTTTGAGATCCACCCTGAGCTTTGTTTTTCTTTGTTCTGTTGTCTTGCTTGACTGTCTTGTTGTCCCCCACTTAACCTATGGGCGTGTGTCAAAGTACAATCTTACTTGTAGGCTATAGTGGAGCACTCCTTATGGGTTAGTACTTGTACCCCATCTCTTGCTAATCCAATCATTCCTGCACAGTTGATTCTGACAGACTGGACTATCGAGCTACAGGGGCGCAACCGCGTACAGTGGTTGCGACCCTCGTGGCAACTGAAGAGTCGCGATCTACAGTGGGAAGGGTGTACTGCACGAGTAACCGACCTGCGGGGCGCGGCAGGATACTGCCCCCTTCCCGAAGCTGAAAGGTCTCGCCAGCGCGACAGTAACAAGGCAACCCAAGCGACGCAGCGCAACTGTTATACAGTTGCGCCTCGGCAACCGTTTGCCCTATGCGTTTGCTATATAACAAAATGTAATGCCTTGCTACACAATTCTCATCCTTGTGTCCAGCCTACCCTCGGCCGCCGCTCTGGCACCAAGTTACAAGCCATGAGAGCTACCTCTGAGTGACCATTGCCCCGCCGTAGGGACATCGTTAAATCCTAGAGTATTTCCGCTACTCTAGCGACCTCTTTAGCTGCCACGAACGAGGGTCGCAACCACTGTACGCGGTTGCGCCCCTGTAGCTCGATAATCCAGTCAACACCAGGGCTAATTTTATCAATGTAAATCACCCTAATACCATGATAATCAGGGTGGTTTTTGGGAGTAACACTGATGGTCTGGGGTAACTTTTTTAAGAGTCAAGATTACCCTGATGTGTCAGGGTTTACATTTTAGGCACACTAATGACTAAGGGTTCCACCCTGAAGCGAGTTCCATACCCCCCCCCCCCCGCCCCCCAGTTCCCCCACCCCCCCTTTCCAGTAACCCGTGATTCCCGAATCCCGATTGCCAACTGGCGAAACCATAATTTCGGCCTTGACAACGCATGTGATGGCTCAAAGTGGGCCACCATTGGCCAGACTTACAGTTTCTTTGTAGGCAGCGCCAGGGGAAACAGAAAGCTCCTGAGCCAGAAGAAAGTGACCACGATGAACACCCATGTGGCATGTCTGATGATGACTAAAATTTGAATTGAGTGCGACGTTAAAAACTATTCACCAGGGTTTGTCTTTTAAGAACACTGATGCGACAGGGTAAATTTTTTAAAACCGACATAAACCCTGACGTAACAGGGTATTCAGAAGGGGTCAGACCGATAATAAGGTTTTTGACCTTGTACCACACTGATCATAAGGGTAGTCAAAATCCAAAAATTAGCCCTGGTCAACACCCTCGCTATGGCAAGGCTCGTTAGCACACTTTGAACAGTGTAGTTCATAATAAAACGTACAAAAATATTAGCAACAGAGGGCATGGTCTTGGAGGCGACTTATACATGCCAGCCAGCCAGCAGCATAAGAATGAGAAAGGCAAGTGTGAACTAGGTACCTATACCCTTTTTATACAGTATGGGTTGAACAACAAAAGCACCCTACTTGGTGAGTCCAAATTTCTTCATGAGTGCAGAATCCCTGAAGCTATAAGGCAGCCAGGTCATTACTCGGAATGACCCTACCAGGTGCCCAAACGCCCACTCTATTGGTACCTTCTTGGCCAAGGCTTTCTGGCGGTGGGGGGGGGGGGGGGGAATAGAGGGAAAGGGGATAGAACGGCAAGAGATGCATGTGAAATATGCACAAAGTGAACCCACAAAATTCCCAAACCATCGCACATGCACACCAACACGTACATGCACATGCATGCACACGCGCATACATGCACATGCGCATGCATGCACACGCACATGCACACGCACACATGCACATGCAGACGCACATGCACACGCACATGTATACGCATTCACGCACACGCACACACATGCACACAATAAAAATCCCAGACGCCCAAACGTCCAGGCACACACATACAAAAACCACCTCACCACCACTCTCACCTCCACCAGAGCCCTCTCGAACACGTCTCCTGGCGTGGACTGGGGGGTTTGGGGGGCCCCTTCACGGGCCACCATCTGCAGCTAAAAACACATACACAAATGCACATACATGCAGCATATGCACACATAAAGCGCGCCCACACCACCCTCACCTCCACCAGAGCCCTCTCGAATGCGTCTCCTGGCGTACACATACATGAAGCTGATGCACCACCTTCCCACCCTCACCTCTACTAAAGCCCTGGCAAACACGTCTTCTGGTGTGGACTGGGGCGTCTGAGCTGAGAAGCGCATAGACACACACCCTCACGCACAAATGCACCCCGCCACGCTCCTCAAAGTCTCACCTCTACTAAAGCCCTGGCAAACACGTCTCCTGGTGTGGACTGGGGGGTTTGAGAGGCCCCTGCACGAGCCTCCATCTGCTGCTGAAAGCACAGGCACACACACAAGCCATCCTCACACCACCCTCCCCATCCTCACCTCGACTAAAGCCCTGGCGAACACGTCTCCTGGTGTGGACTGGGGCGTTTGAGATGCCCCTGCCCGTGCCTCTATCTGCTTCTGAAAGCGGGTGAATATCTTGAGACGCAGGTGGGAGACTGAAGAAGAAGAATTGCCACCAAAGTTGGACCTGATGGGATGGGCACCGGACAAAGAGCAGCGTGAAGGGGAAGGCATGTAAAATGGCCTCTATGTGCTGCAGAAAGATGGAGCCTGGAGGAGAGAAGAACTTGAGACGCAGGAGGGAGACAGAAGAAGACGAATTGCCACCAAAGTTGGACCTGGGTTTGGAAGGGAGGGGATGGGAACGAAAGGGGTTGTATTGTATAAGAAGGGAAGGGATGGGATGGAAGGGGGTAGGACGGACAGGATGGCGAAGGGAAATGCATGTGAACTGGCCTCTATCTGCTTCTGAAAGCGGGAGAATATTCGTCCTTCTAAACCATCTCAACAGCCCTTTCCTACCCGATGGCACCCGGAGCAACGAGCATGACTTGGATGCCGAAGGGTTTCAGCTCCATTCTGAGCGCATGGGTGATGCTGTGCCCTGCTGCCTTGGCAATAGGGCTTTGGCAACACAGTACGTGCTGTTTCTAAGTCAACTCAGCAGCCCTCTCCTACCTGATGGCACCCGGAGCAACGAGCATGACTTGGATGCCGAAGGGTTTCAGCTCCATTCTGAGCGCATGGGTGATGCTGTGCCCTGCTGCCTTGGCAATAGGGCTTTGGCAACACAGTACGTGCTGTTTCTAAGTCAACTCAGCAGCCCTCTCCTACCTGATGGCACCCGGAGCAACGAGCATGACTTGGATGCCGAAGGGTTTCAGCTCCATTCTGAGCGCATGGGTGATGCTGTGCACTGCCGCCTTGGCGGCACAGTAGGTGCCGGCAAAGGGAGTGGTGACCCATGCTGAAACCGACCCTATGTTCACGACCTTGCCACTGCCCTGAGGGTTTATGAGAGGAGCAGATGGGGAAGCAGAAGGAGAAGGGAGGGAGGCAAGGGAGTGATGCTGTGAGCTGCTGCCTGCCTGCCTGCCTGCCTGCCTGCCTTGGCCGCACAGTATGTGCCGACAAAGGGCGTGGTGACCCATGCTGACACCGACCCTATGTTCACGACCTTGCCACTGCCCTGCAGATTCAAGCGAGGGGAGGGAGGAAAAGAGGGGAAAACTCTGGCGGAGAAAAGGGCGTGGTGACCCATGCTGACACCGACCCACGTTGGTCTTCATGTTGCTGCGGAACGCATCCTGAGGCATCTCTGTCATTGGGGCGAAGCAGGAGCAAGCACCCCCCCCCAACCACCAGTCACTTTGACCCTACCTGCTCCACCATGTGGGGGACGACGGCTTGAGTGACGGCCAGCAGGCCAACCACGTTGGTCTCCATGTTGCTGCGGAATGAATCAAGAGGCCAAAGCACAGCACAAGCACCTGGCCGCAGCAAGAGGCGTCTCCTCCATGGGGGCAAAGCAGGGAGCACCCCGCACCCTCCCCACCTGCTACATTCTGAGCCCATAGTCACGCTCACATACACATCCCACCCACCTGCTCCACCATGTGGGGCACTACTGCCTGTGTGACGGCCAGCAGACCAACCACGTTGGTCTCCATGTTGCCTACTTATGCACCCACAGTCATCGTTAGTCGCAATCACCCTACCTGTTCCACCATATGCGGCACTACCGCCTGGGTGGCAGCGGGCAGGCCAACCACATTAGTGTCCATGTTGCTGCAGAAGGCATCAACAGGCATCTCCGCCATGGGTCCAAAGCACCCCGCTCCCCTACCCACCTGCTACCATCCCACACACCTGCTCCACCATGTGAGGCACCATGGCTTGAGTAACAGCCACCAGGCCAACCACGTTAGTTTCCACGTTGCTGCAGAAGGCATCAAGAGGCATCTCCGCCATGGGGCCAAAGCACCCCGCGCCTGCCACCATACTCACGTTCACCCCACAGTCACATTCACCCTACCTGTTCCACCATATGGGGCACTACTGCCTGAGTGACGACCAGCAAGCCAACCACATTAGTTTCCATGTTGCCGCGGAACGAATCAAGAGGCATCTCCGCCATGGGGCCAAAACAGCCCGCCCCCGCGTTGTTGACCAGAATGTCTATTCTGCCTGCCTGCACAGGTGAAACAGGGAAAACCAGCGTGGAAAAACGGCGTGTTGGGGCATCCAGGGGCATCTCCGCCATTGGGCCAAGCCAAAGCACCCTGCTCCTGCATTGTTGACCAGAATGTCTATTCTGCCCGCCTGAATGGGTGAGACAGGCAGCACCATGGCACCTTCACCATGGCACCTTAACCACCTTCACCATGACTCAATGCAAGGGTCACCTTGGAAATGACTGTGCTGACGGCTTCCTGAACGGAGACTGTGGAGGTGACATCCAGCTGCACCGTCAGTTTGGCAGAGCCCGCATAAATGAAATCAGACGTCCCAGTCACGTCACCTTGGCAATGACTGTGCTGACGGTGTCCCGAATGGATGCTGGGGATGTGAGAAGATATAGGTGTACTGTAAACTTGGCAGAGCACATGAATTGAAGCAAACTTCTCATTGAAACATCACCTTGGCAATGACTGTGCTGACGGCTTCTTGAATGGAAGCTGTGGACGTCACATCTAGTTGCACCGCCTCGATCCCCAAGCCTGCAAAGGAGGAAAATCAGGAGAGAATTGAGACACAAAAAGACGAAAGAAAGGAACAGAACAAGGGGAAGAGTCTTGAATGGAGGCTGTGGACGTCACATCTAGCTGCACCGTCTTGATCCCCAACCCTGAAAAAGGGAAAAGAATGGTAAGAGGAGGAGATGAGAGAAAAGGAGACAGCATAATAAAATTTGATGTGGGGAGGAGTGCTCATCAAGATGAGTTCTGAGCGGTCTGGCTCAAACTTCAAAGCCACTCAAACTTCAAAGCCACAAGCCACCTTTGAGAGATCTATCTCATACACGACGAGACGACTAGACATTCTTGAATGAGGGCAGTGGGAGTGGGGAGTGGATTGGCCATTTAACCGCACCATCTCTCTCCCCAACCCTGAGATGGCAGAGAAGAGGGGTGCAGTGCAGGGGACATGCGAGCCGAGTTTTGATGCACATGTTACGTGATAACAAAACTTTCCGAGGACGTCTCAAAACAAACTCATTATCACGTGACACATGACATGCGACAAGAGAGCTTGAAGATTAAAAAATGCCTCCCAAAGGCCGCTTACCTGCGAGGTCCTGCATTTGCCTACCTACCTGCTAAGTCTTGCATGGAGTCGGGGCGGCATGCGGATGCGAACACGCGACAACCTCTAGCGGCGAAGGCCTTGCAAAGCCCCGACCCGATACCCCGATTCAAAGCACCGGCTTGAGACACTCATGCTGGAAGAGGGGGGAGGGACTCACACTCGCCACTTGCCTGCTAAATCCTGCATGGAGTCGGGTCGGCGTGCTGTAGCGAACACGCGGCAGCCTTTAGCGGCGAAGGCTTTGCAGAGCTCCGATCCGATGCCGCCGGAGGAGCATCCCGTGACGAGCACCACTGGACCCGCCATCAGCGGCTGGTGCTGCTCCGACATTAGTGAGCCGACCGCTGCCTTTCTAAGGGTCGTGACGCGAGGAGGCTGTTAACGCGAAGCGCGTGAGCTTCGAGCTTCGTGCGGTGAATGAACAAACGAACGGGTTAAACGGCCCTGACGGGTTAAAGGGCACGGCTGTTAATGACAGGTGATTGTACACTGATGAGAATCAACGGCTCCAGGTGGATTGATAGGTTGATTGATTCTTCAGAGTACTGTCACGTGAAACTGATGAAGTTTCGTTTAGGAGCCAAAAGCTAGTAGTTGTCTCTGCTCGAGTCTGTATGTTTGGGGAAGATCGAGTCGAGACACACAAATGGCGCCAGATGATAGATTCTGACAAGGTGTCAGAATTAGTGTGCCAGATTATAGCATCTGACACAAAAACTACACTCAAGTCCAACTTCATCACCGTACTGCACCCTACTGGTACGCGTCAAACCACGTTTGATTGCGATCTCGCGGGCGATGTATTGAACCTCAGGAGCCCTCGAAAAGCTGGCCTTGGGATTCCAGTAGTCCAGACCGACTCGACTCGATTCGACTCGATCAGCTAGACTCTAGGGCCCTGTTCGGTAGCCCCCCCAGTCACACTGCGGTTGGTGCAGGTGCTCTTCCTCGGCCCAATTTCGACTCACCTTAAAGCCCACCAAACCGTTATTAGAACACCATACCTGCCCAGTGCAAGTTGGCTACCGAACGCGTGAAAAACCCAGTCCGAGTGAAGTTGAGGACGCTACCACGAAAATGCTTGCTCAGGCAAGCTCGACCGCCAGTGAGAGTCAACCCAATTTCTACTTTCCAGTTCCACCCAGGCAGGCCCGCTCTGAGTTGGACGCTGTAGGGTAAACACTGCATTAGTTTTGAATCGGGTCAAACTATGTTTTTCACCCCGCTCGTTCAAACGATGAGAGATCGTGCCCGTTCGTGATTTCCTTTTAAACAAATCGAGAGTGCTTAATTTGGCGGGCTGTTTTTTGTTTGTGAGCTGGGCAGCCTCGTACAGAAGTAAAAGTTTCGGCCGGTAATTTCTCGAGAAACACAAGGTAACTTCTTGCATTTGTTGACGAGACTTCGTTTCAGTGTGAGTGGACGCCCGAGGCTACGAAACATGTCGTAGGCTTCCCCAGTTCGAGTGGGCCCAGTGTGACTGGAAGGCTACCGAACAGGGCCTAGGTTATATTCACTGGTTTATTGACCTTACATACCATCATGCAGTTTATGTGGTGAACTAAAATCTCGAACGATCACACTGAAAGCTGCGCTGCGGTCAAGCCACTCGTGATGCTTCAGGGGAGCTGCGAGTTTTTATCGCAAAACTCGAAAGTAGCCGTTGCTCGAAGCGCGCGCGCTGGGTGAGAGCCATACGCTCTGGTTTTGAGGTGCCGAGGATATGCTAACCGAGTGAGAGCATCATTCCACTCTTGGTGCAACAGCAGAGGTTGCGCAGTTCCATTTCTAGGTGCCTCGAAAGTGAATGCAGAGCTCGAGGACAATGCTAGCTGCAGCGAACCACGCGTGTGTGAGTGAGCATGCATTCTGTAGCAGAGAACCACGCCTTTGTGCTGTTCCACGTAAAGCGAAAGTCGTATCGAAAGGTGACTCTCCTCTGTCCGGGTTTGCCACAAATAGGCAACTGGTATTTAGTAGGAAGGGCTGCAGCTGACCTGTTCGATCAGGCCTAGTAGTGAAAACCGCAGTCGCGATATCACTTTATATCTTCACCTAAAGGTACTCCCAGTTCGTTTCTTGAGACACCCAGAGAGTGCACATGGCTCATATGGACTCTGCAGCAACTCACATTCACGATCTCCCTGACGATGTTCTCGTTAGAATTTTCTGGCCTCCGGAGCAAACAACCTCTTACAAATCCGAGAGCGATGATCTATGGAACTTCGTGTTTCCTCGACCCAAGTACTTCTATGGAAACGCCACGCCTGAAGAGCTTTACTACGGGCGAAGAGACTCTCCCATGCCGAGCCCTCCAGCCTCTGCAGAAGCTGGTTACACTCTCCTGTTAGCGTCCATCTGCCAGCGCTGGCGGCGAATCACTCAGCGCCACGTGTCGTCTCTCCTCGTCAAGGAAGATCGTGTTGTTTCACACCAGGATGTGCTCAGCGCTGTTGCGTGTTTACCGCATCTGACCCATCTGCACCTGTCGGACAGCAGCGTGGAGATTTTGAACAACGCCTTCCTTGCTGACCTTTCTGCTGCGTGTCCGAGGCTGAGGGCGTTGTACGTGGGGAAGCTGATGCTGACAGCAGATGACGAAGGTAGAAAGAAGCACAGCCTGATCACCAAACCTGGCTTGGATAATCTCTTCCGTCGCTGTCCGGATCTGGAGCAGCTGTCGCTGTATTGCCTTTGGAGAAACGTGAATCCACCAGCTTCTTTTTTCCAGCTTCGGAATATGCGCATCCTGGTCCTGTCCAATTCATTTTTCCTCAAGACTCCTGAATTCAACTCCCTCGCATCTCTCACTGCTCTCTCCTTAGAAACCACAAACCTTCACTACCGCCAACTTTCGAACATCCTGTATCTCACCAACCTCACCTGGCTTTCTTTGCCCACCCTAATCACTCCGCCTTCTTTCTCACTCGCACAATTACCCTCTCTCAACTCACTGAAAGTCGGTCTCTCCGATTCACAATTCAGCGATCTCTTCCCTCTTAGATTTCCATACAGGTTCTTAAAACGGCTGCAACTTAGGAACTGCAACGAGCAAGAGAGCCTTCCAGACAGTTTTGGAGAGGTGATGCCTTGCCTCCAAGACCTCAGCATCTGTTACTGCAGATGCTTCAGTGATCTGACGGACCGATTCACCTCTCTGTCCTGCCTGGAGAAGCTGACACTTTCCTCTTGCAACATCTTCTCTCTGCCTGCAAACTTCGGAAACCTTCCCGCTCTGGAGACCTTGGTGCTGGATGCGCTGCCCCTTCGCTATCTTCCTTCTTCCTTCACCAAACTCTCATCTCTGGAGACTTTTTTGCTGCTTGGGTGTGAGGATATTGTTGACTTACCTGAAGGGTTTGGTTGCCTCACAGCACTCCAGACTCTCAGCCTTGCATTGCCACCGGCCCTGGACCTTCCGGAGCTGGGCCTTCCGTACCTGGACCAGTCGGACCTGAACTTTCTGGACCTGACACTTCCAGACGACATTGGAGGGCTGACTAATCTTCATACTATTCGTCTCAACAAAAACTGTGAAGAACTCTACATTCAGGACTGTTCAGAATTCAAGAAGCTTCCAGAATCAGTGACAGCACTGGTCGGCCTTCGAGTGCTAAGGATTGAAAGCTGTCCCAGTCTCTTTTTGCTTCCCAGGAGGTTGGACAGCCTGACCAGGCTGAAGCAGTTGGAGATAAGCGGATGTGATCAGCTGGATGAAGCCCCTCAGTGTTTGCCACTCAGCCTCCAGTCTCTATTTTACAAAAACGATCAGATGGTGCCGCTGCCTGACATGTCAAAGCTTTCAGGACTGAGGGATTTGCGCTTGGGTGTTGTTCATGCAGTAGCTCTCCTGACAATCTGTGCCAGTCTTTCAGGTCTAGAGCATTTGGAGTTGACGCTGGGAGAAGATACGGAGGAGTTTCCTTCCGCATTGACCAGTCTTTCTCGCCTCCACACCTTGGCAGTAAAGGGGGCTCACAGCATGAAGAGTCTGCTGCAATCTGATGGCTCACTCGATGGTCCACCTTTTCAGGCGCTACGACAGCTGAGTATCAATACAAGTGACAAATTTACAGAGCTGCCTGCAGCTATCACAATACTTCAGCACCTGACATCCCTTCAAATCCACGCTCCAAACCTGTCTTCTCTTCCGGATGAGATCGGGGCGGTTTCACGATTGCGAAGGCTGAACTTTTCAAACTGCTCTTCTCTCACGCATCTCCCTGCTTCACTCGCCGATCTATCCTGCCTGACTGATTTGAAGCTAAGCAACACTTCTGTCTGCTTGCTCCCTCCTCAATTAACTGAGCTCCGCAGACTCAAGAACTTTGATGTCTCTAACTGCAAGCAGCTGGAAGCTCTGCCTCACGGATTACAAGACCTCAAAATGCTTGATCTTCTCTATACCAGAGGCTGTGACAAGCTCCAACAATGAAGGTGATCCTTGATATCAGAATGTAGGGCGTGTAGTTGGACATTGTGACTACTGTTTTTGGAAGTTGGATACTTAGCTCTCAACTTGACTATCTTGTATAACGCTACCATTCAGAAACGAGTTCGCAAGGAAAACCAGAAATATTGTTTGGGACTTGTTGCTGAACCCCCCTGTTAGTAGGGATCGTCCACTTGTGAGCTGCGCTGTGATCAATGCTCGTGTTGTGGTTTGGAGATCTGCGAGCTGCTCTCGCAAAACCCAAAGTAGCCGTAGCCCGAAGCGCAGAGCCTACGAGTGAGAGCATTACGCTATTTTCGAGGATTTTCGGGAATGGATCGCCCTGAGTGAGTGAGCGAGCATCATGCCAGCTGCAGCGCATGGCTTGTGAAACAACGCTAGCTGTCCCCCAGCGCATGCTCAGTGCTCAGTGAGTGAGCATGCGTGCTTCAGCAGCAGCCGTAGCATGCCACGTGTGCGTGCTTCAGCAGCAGCCGTAGCATGCCACGTGTGCGTGCTTCTCCATGTGATGGGCTCAATTCACAGCGAAAGTCGCATTTAGAGTCGCAGAGTCGCAGAGTAGAAGCGAAAGGCGACCCTCCTCTGCCTGGAACTGCCTGTCGCAGCGACGGATTCAACTCCTATACGGAGCTGACATTCAGACGTAGGAAGTTGTTCTCTAGTAGACAAGAGAGACAGAAATGACTGACCTTTCCGATTGATCCTATTATTTACGTATGATACCCGTGAAACTGCGGTTCAGCTCCAGCGTTTTTTCTTGTTTTACCTTCACCTTAGTCGCTGCCAAGTTCGTTGCTCTAGGCACCTAAGAAGTCCCACACCGCTTATACCGACATGGCTCATACGGACTCTGAAACGACTCACATAAGCGATCTCCCTGACAATGTTCTTGTCAGGATCTTCTGGCCTCCGGAACAGCCAGCCTCTGGCAGATTCGAGAGCGATGATCTGTGGAAAGGCATGCCGCCGCCTGTGTTGCCGCCTAAGTACATCCACGCGAACGCTACGACTGAAGAGCTTGTCTTCAGGGCAAGAGACACTCCTATGCCGATCCCTCCTGCCTCCGCAAACGCTGCGTACACTCTCCTGCTCGCGTCCATCTGCCGTCGCTGGCGGCGACTTACTCAGCGCCACGTGACTTCACTCCTCGTTAAGGAAGAGCGGGTCGTTTCGCATCAGGATCTGCTCAACGCTGTTGCGTGTTTACCGCGTCTGACCCATCTGCACCTGTCTGATAGCAGTGTGGAGATTTTGGACAATGTCTTTCTTACTAACCTCGCCATTGCGTGCCCTAAGCTGAGGGCGTTTCATGTGGGGAAGTTGCTTCTGACAGAAGAAGGTGGAAGGAAGCACAGCCCGATAACCAAGGCTGGCTTGGATAATCTCTTCCGTCGCTGCGCGGATCTGGAGCATCTGTCGCTGTATTGTCTTCGGAAGAATGTGAGGCCACCAGCTTCGTTCTTTCAGCTTCAGAATCTCCGCACGCTCGTCTTGTCCAATGCGTTCATCCTCAGAGCTTCGAAATGCAACTCCCTCGCATCTCTCACTGCACTCTCCATTGAAACCACCTTTCTTCACTACGAGCAGCTCTTTAACCTCCTTCATCTCACCAACCTCACCAGCCTCTCCTTGCCCAATGAGATTCGCCTGTTTTCTGATACTCCTCCTGCCTTCTTTCTCGGACAACTACCCTCCCTCACCTCACTGAAATTCGGCCTCTGCTATGCACAGTTCAGCGTTTTCTTCCCTCGTAGAATTCCATACAGGTGCTTGAAACGGCTGCATCTTACACACTGCAACGAGCAAGTGAGCCTTCCTGACAGTATAGGAGAGGTGATGCCGTGCCTCCAAGAGCTCAACATCTATTTCTGCAGATCCTTCACCGATCTGACTGACCAGTTCACCTCGCTCACCTGCCTAGAAAAGCTGACAATTTCCATGTGCAGCATCGCCACTCTGCCCGAGAATTTTGGAAATCTTCCAGCTCTGAAGACTCTTGTGCTGCACTGGCTGCCTCTTCTCCGTCTTCCTGCTTCCTTCACTGCACTCGCATCATTGGAGACTTTTTTTCTGCTTGATTGTGAGAGGGTGCAGGAGTTACCGGATGGCTTTGGTTGCCTCACTGGACTACAGACTCTGAACCTTGTGTCGTGCTCTGCAATGGAACTTCCAGGAGATTTGGGGGAGCTGGCCAATCTTCAGACGTTCCGACTTGAAGACAACAATGATGAGCAGCTGCCGTCTTCATTCACGCAGCTGGTTTCACTGATCAGGCTGGAACTCGATCGGTGTTCGATTCGCAAGCTTCCAGGCGGCATGAGGGGGATGACAAACCTGCAAGAGGTTTACATTAAAAACTGCTCAAAAATCAAGAGGCTTCAAGATTTCGTGACAGCTCTGACCAGCCTTCGAGTGTTACGGATTGAAGACTGTTCCAGTCTCACTACAGTTCCCAGGAGGCTACACAACCTAACCAGGCTGAGGCAGCTGGAGCTCACGAAATGTCAGCTGAATGAAAGCCTTCAGACTCTACCCTTCAGCCTCCAGACTCTTTGTTACCAAACCAGTCCGTGGGTGGTTCCTCTGCCTGACATGGCGATGCTTTCGGATCTCAGAGATTTGCGTTTGGGTTTTGTTGATGCAGCAGGCCTCCTGGCGATTGCTGCCTATCTCTCACGTCTGGAGCGTTTGGAGTTGGCGTTGGGAGCAGATGGGGGGAAGGCGGAGAGGTTTCTTTTCACATTGACCAGTCTTTCTAACCTCCGCAGTTTAGAAGTGATGGGAGCTTGCAGCTTGAAGACACTTCTGGAATCTGATGGATCGGCCTGGCATGGGCTACGGCAGCTGTGCATTGATGATACATTGAGTGGTGAATTCACACGACTGCCTCCGGCTATCACAACCCTTCAGCACCTGACATCCCTATGGGTTCACGCGCCAAATCTAACTTCTCTACCAGATGATTTTGGAGCCTTTTCAAGACTGCGCCGGCTGGAGTTATCAGAATGTTCATCCCTCGCGCACCTCCCTGCTTCTCTCACTGAACTATCCTGCCTGACGGATGTGAATTTCAGCGACACTCCCATACGCTCGCTCCCACCTGGCTTGTCCCAGCTTAGAAGGCTCAAGGGCCTGAATCTCCATAACTGCAAGCAGCTGGTTGCTCTGCCTGATGAGATACAAGGTCTTCCAATGCTGGACGTTGTTATCAGTGAAGGCTGTCGGGTGGACTCTCAGGTTTCAGACTTTTTGGCAGACTTATTTTCAAGACATAACCTTGGTTTTTAGTTGTAGAATTGTATGAGCTGTACATGGTTTGCTGATTCTCACTGCACATATGTGTAGATCCGTGAGTACTGATAATGGTGTAGACTAAATAGGTTTTCTGCTGTGGCCGTACCAAGCTCCAACAGTAAATGAAAGTGCAGCTGTTGCACACAGTAATAGAAAGTTGGCAAAGGTGAAGTGTTAAGGCCATGCTCCGCGTAGTGGTGGATTTGGCTGCTTTTTCGAGCGTTGCTGGCATCGAAGGTGACTTAGTCAATAAATAATTAACAAAACGGCCAAATCTGACATACTTATACGGTAGGTTGGTCACTCTGGTGGGCCGTTGGAGGAAGTTGTGACTTTGTGCCACATGTGCCGAATGCTGGCACTCTTCACCAAGAAGTTAGCAAGCCTCATTACCGGGTTACTTTTGCGACGAACGACCAACTGGATACTGGAAAATCTCGATCTTGCACGCCATGAACTCTCTTTGCCTGAATTTCCAACCCACCTGCCCTAGACATGCCTGGTAATAGGCCAGATGTTTTGTCACATCACTACCTAACTGAACTGAAGCGCTTTGCCCTTGCAAGTTATATCATGGCAACATTTCCCCATTGTGGGTTTCACTACTGGTAACAAGCGTTCTGCCTGTCCGTCCGCTCCACATCCCTCCTCCCTGCATCCTCTCCAACTCCTCGCAACTCTCAAAACAAACCTCTCAATGATCCCGAAGAGAAAAAGGATCACTCTCCGGGCCAGTCCAGTCCAAATTATCGGTACTGTACTAATAAACAACCAAACGTTCCTAGTAGCACTGGAAGTGCACCCTCACCAGAACAAGAAGAATCTTTCAAGCCATGCCAAAGCTTAATCCAGAGATCCAGGAGGTCTGTCCAAGCCATGCCGCCCCTCCGCCATCTCGTGGTGTCGCTTATCCTCGTCCCTCCGACCCTCATCCTCCAGCTCCTCCCGATCCACGAACCTACCGATGAGGTCCGGCGGCGGGAGGATTAGCCTCGGGGCCTTCCCGAACCAGCGGTGGCGGCGGCGCCAGGCAAAGAGGAAGGGGATGTTGAGGAGAGGTTGGGGGATGAGGAGGAGGGAGGCGAGGAGAGGGTAGGGGAGAGGCAGGTCCCAGGCCACTCGGAACAGAGCTGGCAGCACAGAGAAACAACAGCAGAGGAGGGGGGAATGGATAGAGCGGAGAACGCGGTTTGAGATACATTAGATCTCACACGAGGGAAAAAAACAGCCTAACTGAGGAGGCAGAGAAGGAGGCCCTGTACCATAGCCCTTCTGAGGACATGCACTAGAAGAGGAGAGCGTCAGAGGGGAGCAGCGAGGCAGGGGTGTGCTGCCTCTGGCAGCGAGGCAGGGGTGTGCTGCCTCTGGCAGCGAGGCAGGGGTGTGCTGCCTCTGGCAGCGAGGCTGCCTCTGGCAGCGAGGCAGGGGTGTGCTGCCTCTGGCAGCGAGGCTGCCTCTGGCAGCGAGGCAGGGGTGTGCTGCCTCTGGCAGCGAGGCTGCCTCTGGCAGCGAGGCAGGGGTGTGCTGCCTCTGACTGCACGCAGTAGAAGGAGAGAAAGCCAACCCAAGGAGAGAGGAAACAGCCTACCTGCCGTGCCAGAGGAGGCAAAATTACATGACACGGAGGAAGCATACCTGAAGTCCCAGAGAAGGAGGCGTTGTAGCCTTGAATGTACACCGGCGAGAGCAGAACGTCAGCGGGGGTGAGGCCGAAGGCAGCGAGGTAGGGATGTGCTGCCTCTGACTGCGCGCAGCAGAAGGAGAGAAAGCCTACCCAAGGAAAGAGAAGCATACCTGAAGTGCCAGAGTAGGAGGCGTCGAAGCCCTGGATGTAGACTGGAGAGAGGAGAACGTCAGAGGGGGTGAGGCCGAAGGCAGCGAGGTAGGGGTGTGCTGCCTCTGACTGCGCGCAGCAGAAGGAGAGCTTCTGGTCCCTGTCAGCCCTGGCAATACGTTGAACCACTGTGGGAGAGGGAATGGGGAGGGAGGAGATGGGGAGAGAACAGTAAGTTTTTGAGTTCAATGGTGAAGGGGATGGGATGGGATGGGATGTGCTGTCTCTGACTGCGCACAGCAGAAGGAGAGCTTCTGATCCCTGTCCGCCCTGGCAATGCGTTGGACCACTACAGCAAGGGGAAGAGGGGCCGGGATGGTAGGATATGGGGAGCGCGGGGGGGGGTTTATAGTTCGCTCGTGAACGGGTGTGCTGCCTCTGACAGCGCACAGCAGAAGGAGAGTTTCTGATCCCTGTCCGCCCTGGCTATACAGTGGACCACTGCAGCAAGGGGGCGGAGAGGAAGAAGAGCGGGTAAACGAGGAGCAGGATTTCTTTGTCAGAGGCTTTGTCAGAAGGATAGCCCTCTGATTGTGCACAGCAGACGGAGAGCTTTTGGTCCCTGTCGGCCTTGGCAATGCGGTAAATTACTGCAGTGAGGGTGGGAAGGTGGAAGGGGTTGGAGAGGAAGAGAGAGAGAAAGTCTATTTTTTCTGCTATCACCTTTCGTTCTCAATTTATCTTTCCGTTTTCAGTTGTTATTTTCAGAATCACGATGGCAGTTCCTATTGAGAATGAAGGCACAAACCGACGCTCATGCAGGAGTACGAGGCAGGGTGCAAACGGCGGGCCGTGAAGCACCTCCGTTGGCCTCTCACCGGGGTGCAAACGGCGAATGCCAGATGGCCAACGGAGGTGCTTCATGACCCGCCTCGTACTACTGCGTGAGCGTCAGTTTTGTGCCTTCATTCTCAATTGGAACTGCCATCGTGACTCACCAGCGTGGGAGGCATGGTATATGCCATCAATCAGCAGCACGCGAGGCTTCACGCTCCCATGCTAGTCCCTACACTTTCACTCACCCGCTTTTTCTGACTCACCAGCATGGGAGGCATAGCATGTGCGATCAATCAGCAGCATACGAGGCTTCAGGCTTCCGAAATCTGCAACAAACACAGTCACAGGCGCGCCCATTCCCGCTGCTGCCATGGCGATCTAGGGCGTGGGGGGTGCTGGCGGTACTGGCTCACACAATCATTCACCGATCCAAACCCATCCGAACTTGACTCACCGGCGTGGGAGGCGTAGCATGTCCCATCAATCAGCAGAACCCGTGGCTTCAGGCTCCCATGCGATCATCTACCCATGCAAACCTGACTCCCCACTCTGACCACGACTCGCCCACTCGGCCAGTTTGGCTCACCGGCGTGGGAGGCGTAGCATGTCCCGTCAATCAGCAGAACCCGTGGCTTCAGGCTGCCGAAATTGGCAGCAAACACAGTCACAGGCGCGCTCATGCCTGCTGCTGCCATGGCGATCTGGGGCGTGGGGGGTGCTGGCGCTGGTTCTGGTTCCCGTGGTGATGGTGATGGTGGTGGGGGGAGAGGACGGTTCTGGGTAGACTGAAACACAGTCACAGGCGCGCCCATGCCCGCTGCTGCCATGGCGATCTGGGGCGTGGGGGTTGGTTCTGGCACTGGTGGTACTGGCGCACACAATCATACACCCATCCAAACCCATCCGAACCTGACTCACCAGCGTGGGAAGCATAACACGTCCCATCAATCAGCAGCACGCGAGGCTTCAGGCTGCCGAAATTGGCAGCAAACACCGTCACAGGCGCGCCCATTCCCGCTGCTGCCATGGCAATTTGGGGAGTGGGGGGTGCTGGCGCTGGTTCCGGTTCTCTTGGTTCTCTTGGTGGTGGAGGTGGCGGGGGAGGAGACGGATGGTGGGGAGGAGGGTTCTGGGTGGATTGGAATACAGTCACAGGAGCACCCATGACTGCTGCTGCTCCCATAACGGGCTGGGGCGTTGGGGGTGGTGCTCGCTCTGGTTCCCATGGTGATGGTGATGGTAAGGGTGGAAGGGGGTGGTGAGGAGGAGAATGAGGAGAATGTAGAGTTGAATCTAGGCTTCTCCCACAGTCTGGGTCTCGTGCTGCTGCTGCTGCTGCTGCTGCTGCTGTTGCGCTTCCTGCTTCTCGTCTTGCTGTTTCGGCTGCAGTGGCTGCAGCTGCTGCTGCTGTCAGGGTTGATGTTGCTGCGAGGGAGTGATGATCATGATGTTGATGTTGATATTGACGCGTCTGCACGCCATTCCTGTGGTCCAGATAAAATGCACGCTGACTGTGATACTGTTGATGTGCATGATGGAGAGTCGCATGCTGACGTGGACAGTGACGTGGATGCTGCCGTAAGTCATCGTTATGATGCCAGCTGTGCTCCACCAATGAACAGAATGCGTGCTGTGGCGCGGTAGTAGTAGATACGATATTCAATGGATAGAATCGGAGCTGTGGTGCAGGAGTAGGAGCAGCAGGTACGATACTGGTACATAGTAGGCGATCAAATCTAGGCTCTTCGAATCTCCTTTCCAGAACAACACCAGCAGCAGCAGCAGCAGGACCGGCTGTTGTTCCTGCTGCTGCAACGAATGCCGGATCCGTTGCTGCTGCTGCTGCTCTTCCTACCCCTCCTCTTCCCCCTCCACTTGCCGCTGCTGCTGTTGCGGAAGCACATATCGCCGCGCCCAACAATCGGTCCGGCAAAAATCGACCCTGGTACGCCTGGACCCTACTCCAAACGCACTGGGCTGACCGCATTGACCACGTTGTCCGCGTTGACCGCATTGACGGTGTTGACCTCGTTGACCGCGTTGACTCCCAACCAGCAGTGTCTTCAAAGTCAAACCATGAGCGTGAATTTGAATCTCGGTCTGGATCTGAATCTGAATCTGAATGCAGCCGTCAAACTTAATCTTCTGCTTTTTGAAACGATAAGAAACTCTATTGTCGTCACTGGTTCTATTCGACCTCTCCTTGCGATGGGCCACGCGATACAGAAACGCGGTCTGATATTCTGAGACGTCTTTATATACAGACGCATCCAATGCTTCTGCAATAAGCACGGTTATTCGGAGCTGGGATGCGATGCGAACAAGCGAGAGTGGCCAGGGTGGCACGCGGGAGACGCAGGAAGCGACACGTGGCGAGAGAGGCGTGGCGAGCGACGAAGGGTACAACGGACCACACGGATGAAAATCACCCGAATGTTCCCGCAAAGGACGCAATGGGAGACGGAAACCTCGCAAGGGACAGAGCCTCCGCGGATTCCACACAACCGAGGTCGCTTCCTGCCGTAAACGGCTTGAAAATTCCTGCACTGGCAAGAGAGTGGGCTGGGATGACCGAAGGCAAACATGAGAACGGCGGAAAATGGAGGTGAAGTGGCACAGGGATTGCCGCTGTGACAAGAAACTGATGTCATGAAAGAAAACATAAGATATAACGATTTGTGCGAGATTTTACGCTCCACGGTGTACACCCAGTTGCACCTTCCAACCAGTCGAAAACACTGATTACGAACGCTCCTACAGCGCGTACAGCAGTCTGACGAGCCAAGCCTGCTCGAAATGGGCTGCGAGTGTCGCCAAATGCGCAAAAGGTTTCAATCGCTTTCTTCGAGGAAATAATAGGTTACCAGGTTACTTGTACTTTAACCTAATCCTACTTCTATTCCTTCAAGTGGTAAGAGCAGACATCCCAGTCTCTAGTAACTACTAGTCAATAGCACTCTAGACCTTCGCGTGGCAGTGTTTTGTGCTGCGATGCAGGAAGCGGGATGCGTTAGGGCAACGAAGGATCCCTGACCAAACGAGCTGGATGAAGCGTAGGTGACGCGCCAAATCGAGGAAGCGTCAAAGCTTCCCATCCTCCACGCGACTGACCTTTCCGCAGGCTTATTCTTCACGCGACTGCAACTCGGTGCAGGCCTTTGCCTCACTCGAATCCAACTACTCCTTCGCTCGAATACATTCATCCAGCATTGTGGACCTTCCCCCACGCGTTCTCAGTCGTAGGTTGCACCTCAGACCGCACGACGTCGTACAGACGATTCGCGATGGCGAGAGCGACCAAGTTCGTGAAGCCAATCGTGCTGTCCGTGTTCATGTCCAACCGATACATCTACGCGCAGGTGCGTTCCTCTCATCCTCCATGCGCGCCTCACATGATCATTTCGCACACACGCCCAGGTTCGTTCCCTTCTTCCTCCATGCGCGTTTCACAATCAAGCTCCAATTTGTTCCCTGTCTAGAGTCCCATCTGAGCTTGCATCTCCACTTACCTCTGCTTCATTTCTTCGAATGCTCGCATCTCTCCGCCCCCTGCTTGTGCATGGCTGTGCCTTCCTGGTTATGCTGCCTGCATTTTCAACGTATTCCATCATTCTAACCCCATCGTGCCTGGCTCAACCTCCCTTCCCCCTTCGACCCACGTATTGACGTCCCCCTAGGCCATCATTTTCCTTTTCGTTCTGCATCCCTGCCGCATCTCTTCGCATTCGGCTCTAGTTTTTTTACTTTAGACGCCCTACCTCCCATGAACCAGCATTCGGCCCTACCATTTTCCTCACTACCCCTCGCCCTTCCTCACTTTCCCCCTCCTTCTCTCTGCCTCTTTTGTCTCTTGTGTCCGCTGTGCCTGTTCCTTGATCCTTAAACCTCCCATTTCTCATTTCCTGCCTTGTTCTGCGCTGCACTAATTGCTGATTTGAGAGCTGACCTGGCTGTTGATCTAATCTGCCAATCCTGCCCATTCGTGCTGTATCAAACGGATGTCAATCTCTATGTTGATCTCTTTTTGTTTGTCCAACCCACCACCCCTGCCGCTGCGTCTATGCAGGTGATTCAAGAGCAGACAGCCTTCACCCTTGCCGCCACATCCTTCATAGAAGCCTCCCTGTTTATGAACTTCTGACTCACCTCACCTTTTGCCCAATTGCTGATCCGACCCACCACTTCAGGTGATTCACAAGCCAACAGCCTTCACGGTCGCAGCAACTGACCTCCATATGCATCCTGCATAGAAGTTTCCCTGCCTAACCAACCTATAAGTCACCTCACCTTTTGCCAAATCGCTGTTCCAACCCACCACTGCAGGTTGTTCACGAGCCTACAGCCTTCACGCTCGCTGCAGCATCCTCCATAGAAGCCGCTATGCGCAAATCCCTTACAAGCACAAGCGACAAAATCGCAGCGACAGAGGTCGGGAAGGCTCTAGCTGCACGCATGCTAGAGAAGCAGATCGGCGCTGTGGCGTTTGAGCTGGGGCCCACCCAGATGTACCACGGGAAGCTCAGGTCGCTTTTAGATGCATTGACAGGGTCCGGAGTGAAGCTTCTCTGAAAATTCTGTTACTGTAGGTGGCGCTAAGACTTCGTGTTTGGTTGGCAAGCACAAACAGAGGTGCTGCTGTGGCGTTTGAGCTGGGGCCCACCCAGATGCACCACTGGAAGCTCAGGTTGCTGCGCGATGCTTTCGCTGGGTTGAATTGAGAGAGAAGATTCTCTGAAAATAATCCAGACTTCATGTAAAGCGCATATACCTATGATATGGTGTTTGAGCTGGGCCCCTCTCAGATGTCCACACGAATTGGAGGTTATTGATTGAATGATAAATCGGGAACCCTTTAGCCGAAGAATTTGGAGGTGACATGTCCGTCAGACTCTGGTTGACTTCAGCGAAAGCTAGATTCAACTCTGCAATGTCGCGTGAGCTCACCCATCGCGTTTGGTCCGCATAATAAGGATTGTTGCCTGAACTTGCCATCCGTTTCCTTCAGTCTCATGCCCCTTCAGTCTCGCACACGGTAATCGAATGCCGTAACCAGAGCTTCAGGTTGCCACTCCCGCCTCGTTCACGGTAATTGAAGTCCGTAACCAGAGCTCCAATTAGCTGCTCCTGCCTCGCTCACGGCAATCGAAGTCCGTAAAATACTTCGCCGTCATCGCAGTGTTCGGCTCGCAGCGCACTCATACAAGCCGAGTCGCGGATCAGCAGATTAGAAGCATAAATTGGAACAAAAAATCCCTCGAAGCTCATCCAGCAAACCTGAACTTGCTTTCTCATCTTTACCAGAGAGCAACCAAACGCACTCCACTTCCTCCAGATTCAGATCTTTGCATCAGCAGCGTCCATATAAACATTCACCGCGCCAAAGCTCACGCATTTTTTGCGTTGGATGACCGTCATGGAGAAGACGAGGGTGATACCCATCGTTCTTCTCGTTCTGTTCGTCGGCTCGTATTTGACGCCCCTGGCGCCATCAACCCTGCCAGGCCGCCGTGGTCTTCTCGCGAAACCCACTCCGCCTACTAAAACCGCACATGGCAGCGACGCCAACGTTACCACCGCCCCAGTGACTCCGAAGGTCGTCGCCGCTGCAACTAATGATTCCGAATTAAGCGGGTCGACCGCGGATTTCAGCAACACGTCAAGTGTTTCAAACACTGAAGAGAATTCCGCCTCAACTCTCCCTCCGCGTGCTCCTGCTCATCACGTTGACAATATTGGCGCGGCAGGGAAAGATGCGCTTTTGAAGGGTGTGGGCGCGGGCGCTGCGGGCAAGGGCGCGGTCGAAAAGGGCGCAGCAGGCAAGGGCGCAACGGGCAAGGGCGCTGCAGGGAAGGGCGGAGCGGGAGCTACCGCAGCAGGCAAGGGCGCGGCGAACAAGGGCGCAGCAGGCAAGGGCGCGCCGGGCAAGGTCGCGGAAGGCAAGGGCGCTCCGAGCAAGGCCGCGGAAGGCAAGAGCGCAACCGACGCTAGCGCAGCGGATAAGGGCGCGGCGAAGAAGGGCGCAGCTGGCAAGAGCGCAACGAACGCACAGCACGCCGCGTCGCCTCAGATGGCTGCGCCGCCTCACATGGCTACGGCTGAGGATGTGGCGATCCACACCGTGAAGACGGCATCGAACAATCATCCTGCTGGGTCGAACGCCCAGCGCGCCGCGCGTCCTCATATGGCGACGGCCGAGGACGTGGCGATTGTTCACCCCGGATCAGAAAAGGCGACGGCGGAAGGCGCGACAGTGGCTCCGATGCGAGCGGCGGAGGTAGAAGCGCGTCCTCACATGGCGGCTGCTGAGGACGTGACGATTATTCACCCGGGATCAGTACAGGCGATGGCAATGACAGCGCCGATGGGAGCGAAGGAGGGAGCGGCGCGTCCTCACATGGCGACGGCTGAGGACGTGGCGATTATTCACCCGGGATCAGCAAAGGCGACGGCGGCGGCGGTGGCGCCGATGCAAGCAGAGGAGGGCGAGGCGTGGAGAAATGTGGCGGCTGATGATGACAATGACGACGGTAATGACAGGGAGAACGACAACGATGGCGATAAGGAGAACGACAACGACAGAGACGGCGACCAGGACGGTGACAATGAGAAGGATAATGACAACGATGCAGTGCAGTGGCATGGTGGGGAGGGCAGCAGCACGCGCATGAATGGTGGCAGTAAGGGACAGCGACGGGGCAGGACTCACGGCAGTGACAAGGGAGCATCATCCCTCTTGTCTCGGTTCAGCAACAGCCGTGGGTGGGAGCCTCGCGGCAATCAGCGCACTGGGCTGGACAAGGCACAGCAGTTTCGCATGGCGACGAGCAGCGATGTGGCCATTCGCGAGGGAGGGATTCAAGGCGCGAGCCGTGGTGTGCACTACGGGAGCAACAATGGCAACAACGGCTGGGAGCTTGAGGACAATCAGCGCAACGGGTTCCACAAGGCACAGCAGTTTCGCATGGCGACGAGCAGCGACGTGGCCATTCACAGGAGCGGGGTGCAAGGCGCGGACCTTGGTGTGAAACGCAGGAGCTGGCTTGACATGGCACCAGGGTTCCTCATGGCAACAGCCAGGGATGTCGCCATTCCCACGAGCGGGGTGCAAGGCGCGGACCGTGGTGTGAACTATGGGAATGAGCAGTTGGGTGCACAAGCTGAGGGCGGCGATTGCGATGGTAACAACGGCGGCGGCATTGACAACGGCGGAGGAGGAGGGCAGATCGACATTGGCGCGATCCTGGAGGTGCACAACGCGGCGCGGCGGGAGGTGGGGGTGCCGGACCTGGCATGGGACGACGGCGTGGCAGCAGCAGCGCAGGAGTGGGCGGACCAGCTGGCGGGCGCGGGGTGCCCGCTGCAGCACGGCGGCGCGGAGGGGCTCGGGCAGAACCTGTACTGGCGCGCGCCGGCCGCGCTGACCCCCGAGGAGGATCGCATGGCGGTGCAGGCGTGGGTGGATGAGAAGGCGGATTGGAGTTATAGCGCGGTGCCGGAGGGGTGTGCGGAAGGGAAGGTGTGCGGGCATTACACGCAGGTGGTGTGGGCGTGGACGACCCACGTGGGGTGTGCGTCGGTGCAGTGCCCTGATGGGGGGGGCATGTGGGTGTGCGATTACTCGCCCCAGGGGAACATAATTGGGTACACTCCTTTTTAGAGTGGTGGTGATGCTTGTGAACCTTGATCTGTGTGCTCGGGGTAGGAGGGAAGTCTTATGAATGGTTTATACTTGTGTATATGCGATGACTGGTTTATTGGAACATTTATTGTTTGGGAACATTTAGTACTGGTCACTCACGGTCATCTTGCAAATGCGGAAAACCGAGGATGATGATACATGCGGCAAGAAGCGCGACAGTGCTGCCACAGCAGCAGCAGCAGCTGCTGCTGCTGCTCCTGTTCCGCCACTGCTGCCGCCGCAGCTCCAGCTGCTGGAGCTGTTGTGGCGGCTCCCGCGGATGCGGAGACTGCCGCCGCGGCCCAGCCTTGCGCGACCGGGCTGGAATTGAAAGATCTCCTGTACCGCGCAACGATCCACGTCGCGTCTACGGAGCTGACGCTGGTCGTCGCGCAAGTCCTTGTGCAACCCACTACTACTATTAATAGACCACTAGTGAGGCGCCTTACCAGGGCGCTGGCTGGTCGCGCGCAAGCCGTTGCGCTGATAACGCTGAGAACGCTGAGAACGCTGATACAAGTACTAGTCACAGTACGTGAGTACGCGGAGAACAACAGGCACTGATTCTAAGCTGACCCCCATAACGTCCTTAAATCAGATATGAGAGTGCAACATATGGTTCTACCACCAGTATTTGAGAGAGAAGTTCTCGTGGCTGCAGCGTCCTGGTAATGGCTACGTGCGCGGGTGCATTTGCGGGTGTCTGTGCGGAACCTATTGCTGTTGGAGCGTAACACACAGGCACGCGATAGCGATTGCTGCTGGCGAAGGGGTAGCCAGCACGGTGCTGGGATGGAGGCGAAAGGTGAAGGAAAACCACCTTCACTTCAGAGGGCGATAGGAGGAAATAGGGGCAGCGCGAGGGAAACGAGGGTGAAGGGAGAGTATAAAGCGCGGTTTTTGGGATAATGGTGAAGTGAGAAAACGTGCTTGGGTCAAGCGTGTGAGCGAGGGGAAAGGCGGTAGTCGCGGCGAGAGTTACGTGCGATACCATGAACGAAGATGGTAGCTGTGTTGAAGGCAAGTGAAAGGTTGCACGTCAAGTGGAGGTGGGGGAACCAACGAACTTTGATTGCATTCGCCCGCTACACCATTACTAGTAAGTGTAAGTTCCGTGGTTGCGTTTTCGTGAACATCGTGAGGAAGTCGCAAATGCTCGTGAAACATTGTTGCCGAACGAGACTTGAATCAGCGACGTGGTTTGCGAGTGTCGCGTCGCTTGGTCAAAAGCCAATCCTTACAAGGCTGAGCCCCTGAAAGGTCGGAAAGCACATGACAAACGAATTTCACAGGTTCGTGTTGGCACGGTGGTGCTTGCAGCGGAATCATCACTTAGGCCCCATTGTGACGGGGGCTATGCTTGAAAAGGAAGTGTAATTTAACGGGTACAACTACGTGATGGGTAGTCTTCTAAATGACTCCGTTATACCAAGGTTCCACAGTCGAAACTGAGCTATAACGAGGTATTTAAATTACGGTGTCTGTCGAACACCCGAAGAATCTTCCACGCCCTTTTTTATTGTTTCAATTTTAAAGATTACTTCTCCTGGGGATTGCCCATGACGCAATTGTGAAGGAGCACTTTACAAACGATTTTCACAGGTTTGTGGATCAGCGCGGAGGTGCTTCCAGCGGAATCATAGCCAGGCCCCATACCGACGGGGGCTATGCTTTAAAAGGAGGTCTAATTAAACGGGTACAACTACGCGACGGGTAATCTTATAAACGACTCCGTTATACTAAGGTTCTACTGTCGAAAACTGAGCTATAACGATGTATTTTCATGACGGTGTCTGTCGAACACTCGAAGATTCTTTCACGCCCTTTTTATTGTTTCAATTTTAACATTTACCTCCCCTGAGGATTGCCCATGACGTAATTGTGATGAAGCACTTATACAAACGAATTTCACAGTTTCATGGATCAGCCCGGTGGTGCTTCCAGCGGAATCCTAGTTAGGCCCAATAATGACGGGGGCTATTCTTTAAAAGGAGGTCTAATTTAACAGGTACAACTACGTGAAAGGTAATCGTCTAAATGACCCCGTTATACTAAGGCTCTACTGTCGAAAACTGAGTTATAACAAGGTATTTTAATGACAATTTTTTTGGTTTTAATAATTGAGAAGTATACACCGCAAAACTCAAATGTATACTACACAATATCGGTCGTAACCGTACGTGAGAGAGCAGAGGCTATCTGCTCCAGTGGGGGGCTACGGTGGGTTGAAAACCGTCCTAGGGTTGGTCCAGATGGACTCGAAACCGCTGGTCCACGCCCATTTCTTCTCTCCTGCCAGCCGAATCTTGCTCATCACCCGTTGTTCCTCCAATAGGCTCCTGGCAAGGCGGCCATCTTGCGCCGATTTCTTTTCCTTCTGCCACGCTGTCAAGCGTGCCTTCATATACACTCTCGCGTGTAAGCGGAAGGCGAACAGGATCCTTCTCAGCACTCGGCGCGCTCTGAATTTGCGCCCCCTGAAGACAGCTTCGCACCGCTCCAACCAGATTTGGTGCAACGTGATTGCGATAAGTGTCGCTTTCGAGAAAGCCGAAACCGTGCCAGCCTTGCGGAACAGAAGGTCTTCCAGGGAGTTCGTGACCCGCCGTGGGTTCAGCATGCGGAGTGCTCGCTTCAGCGCGGTGATCACTGTTTGGATCCGCGGGCAAGTGAAAAGGCAGTGCTCCAGTGTCTCCTCGTTTTTGCAGTGTGGGCAAAGGGGTTTGTCGCTGAGGAAGGCGAGTCTCTCACCCACTTGAAGATTGAAATTGTACACTCGCGTTAGGACATCTCTTGGTCTGCTGGGGGTGACCAAGGATTCCCGAATGCCCAGGATCTTTTTCCAGTTTATCGAACCACTCCATCTGCCTGCCCAGCGCAACATCCGATGTGACTGCGCATGCTCTCCCTTCCAATGCTCCCGCATTCTCTTCTGTGAGACCACCCCCCCGTTGTCCAAGTTTGGAATGCGCGGAAGATTTGTGGCTGCTCCCGAAACCCCACCAGCCGGGTTCGTGCAGGGGGTCAGGAGAGCCTCCCTCCACTCTCTTGGAGCTGCTGCGAAGGCTTTCAACGCAAGCCTGGTCGGTCCCTTCCCTCCGAGCTGCTCTGTGAGCTCCGCCATGGATTTCTGCTCCCAGCTACCATCTTGTTCATGCTTCACCAGGTCTCCCAGCGCCCAGTCCCACAGTTGATCTGCAAATTTTTGTCCGCCCACCGGGGCCGTCACTCCCATCATGATGGCGCGGTTGAAAACCAGCCTCTCCTTTGCAATCTCCTCCCGCGTGATTTCGACCGTCCGCACGCTAAGGGGTGACTTCATGAATATTTCGCATGTCTGCTTCCAGCGCTGACTTCTCCCTTCCCAGTTGCGCAGGAGGCGGTCGTGCGAGGTGAAAGTGTCGAGCCCCAACGGAAGATCGGCCGCGCGCACCATCAATTGTTTTTTGAGCTGGTCGGCTTTCGTCATCCTCAAACCAACTCTCCTGGCAGCCAGGCACGCAAGCGTTACACTCGGATCCTGGACCCCGAGCCCGCCGTCCATCCTTGGTGTGTAAAGCAGCTCCTTACTCCACAGTAGGAAAACCTTTGTGGGTGTTGCTTTGTTACCCGAGACGAAGTTATGTAGTAATTTCTCCAGCTCCTTCAATGTCTTTGCAGGTGGCGGGTAGACTTGCGCTTGAAAGGTCATCACGGGCTGAATATAAAGATTCGCCACAGCCCCTCTCGCCTTCTCCGTGAGAAATTTCTGCTTCCAGCTTGTCAGCCACTTCGTGATCTCCCCCAAAGCCTTCTCCCATGTGGGGAGCCCGCTACCATCTGGTGTTACCCAGACCCCTAGTAGCTGTCAGAATATTATCTTATTGTTCTAGCCTGTAGTGGGGTGCTCTATAGCGAGTACAACCCTTCTAGGGTTTTGCTATTTGTATCCTCATTCCTGCTAGTTCAACTCTTTTTTTCTTCCTTCTAATTTTGACATGCTATCAGAGCAGGTCGATCCCCTTGGATCGATCCTGTGGGTGTGTCCCCACCTTGCTTCCGCTGCTACCTGTCCTTCCCGCCGTGCGCCCCGAGGCGCGCGGCGATTTTTTTTCCTTCCCGCCGTGCGCCCCGAGGCGCGCGGCGGTTTTCTGCCCGCCGTGCGCCCTAGGGCGCGCGGCGGTTCTTTGCCCGCTGTGCGACCCGAGGCGTGCGGCGGGCGTCTGCTCTACGTCGCGGCCCCGCCCTACGTCGGGCTTCTCCCCTACGTCGCGGCCCCGCCCTTCGTCGCGACCCCGCCCCTCGACGCGGCCCCGCCCTATGTCGCGGCCCCGCCCTGCGTCGCGGCCCCGCCCCTCGAAGCGGCCCTGCCCCGACCGTCGCGGCCCCGCCCCACCTTCGCGGGCGTCTGCCCTACGTCGCGGCCCCGCCCTGACCGACACGGCCCCGCCTTCGTCGCGGCCCCGCCCTACAGTCGCGGCCCCGCCCTACAGTCGCGGCCCCGCCCTGCGTCGCGGCCCTGTCCCTTCGAAGCGGCCCCGCCCCTTGTCGCGGCCCCGCTCTCCTCTCAGGTCCGTCGTGGGCCCCACTCTCCCCCCCCCCCCCCCCCTCCCCCTACCATTTCCCGTCGCCCGTCGCGGCTCCTTCGGGGGCCGCAAGCGGCCCCCTCAGGTCGCCACGACGGACGACGGGAGGGGCGAGCTGTGGGGTGGCGGGTATGGGGGTGGCCGGTGTGCCTTCCTCCCTTTCTCCTCCTCCTCCTTCGTCTCCCACTGCTACAGCTGTCGCTGAGGGGGGTGGTTGTGTGGGAGACTGGGCTTAGGGTTTTAGGGGGGTGCGTGGGAGTAGAGCTAGTGGTGTAGCAGTGGGTGTGTATCAGGGGGGTGGGACTGTGTGCGGGAGGATGAGCGGAGGTTGCCAGTTTGTCGTCAGCAGCACCTGTAGTCCGGGGCGCTGTCCCGGTAGCCCAGTCGTAGCCAGCTGTGCCAGCCGCCCGTGGG